TTCATAACTTTGTGAATATGTTTAGAAACAATGAACTATACATTTTGACATGGTAAATGTTTGCTAATCGATTATTTATTTTTTAAAAAAGATGTTTTACACATGCCTTTTGCAGCAACATGTATGGAGCTGGAAGGGATCATGCTTAGTGAAATAAGCCAGAAAGAAAAGGAAAAATACAGGATGGTTTCACTCATAACAGGAGTATAAAGGACCAGGAGAGAAAATAATCATAATAATAATAATGAACAATTATATATATTTTACTGGGTTGGAGTGGAGAACAGGATAAAAAATGGAGGGAGGGAGAGTGCATGGGACTGTGGTGATGACACACGGGTGATTTGGTGATGGGAAGTCCACAGGGATTACAATTGAGATGGAAAAATGTACAAAATGATGTCAAAATGAACTATTATATTTAAAAAAATAGCAAAATACAAAAAATATTTGTTTGTTTTTTTTTAATGCTGTTATCTATGGTCTCACTGCCTTCTAACCCTAGCACTTTATGGAGACTAGTCTCTCATTGGAACCACATGAACTTTCTTGATGTGTTTTCTCCAGAGCTGGGTATGATTATTGCACGCAACTTTGCTTAGCACAGTGCTGGAACTCAGCATTTGACAAATGGCCTTAGCCGAGAGAACAAACCTACTTTCTGCACTTCTACATCTTTAAAATCCATATACCAATTCTGAAGCCATAATATCAATTCTAGATTTGAGTTTTTCAGTGACAGTGTAAACAGAATGCCATGGACAATAAAGACTTTCAGTATCTTAATACCCTTGGAAAGAAAGATTTCTGAGCATCAGGTCCATACATGAATTCAGAATATAATACTTCAATCCCTTAAATCCAAAATTTCCAAGAATCTCGCTTGCAGTTACATTCCAGGGTATGCTGGCTTTATACCCTCAGAGTCTTTTAAGTTAAATTATCTCTGTTGGGGGCTTCCCTGATGGCACAGGAGATAAAGACACAGTGCTATCAAGCTTTTTCCAGATACACAGTAAGAGTTGATCCCGCACAGGGAGCTAACTTAGATAAGCAGCAGACCTCTCCTGTCTTGCCTGAGACTCCCCTCAGCAGTATATTTCAGTAGATCTGCCTGTTCTGTTGCGCACTTTGTCTCTGGTGAATCCTTGCACCCCACAACCCCCACGTCCCCAAACATATCTCTGGACTACACCCTGGTTCTTATGTGCATAAATAATAAAATACATCTTAATAAAATATATTTCTGTATGCAGAAATCTCACTCAAGCTAACACATTGTCGTTCCTTATTGGTATCCAATACAGAGTTAAAACATACTATGAAACACACTATAACCAAAATTCATGCTGATGCTTCTGAGATGAAAGATCCCAGGACAAGGACAGGAATCAAGAACAGAACTTTGCTATTCACACAGGCTGGTGAAAATGAGGTTAAACAAGCCCGATGATTCTAGGTCCAGACACTAGCTGCCATAAATTTCCTTGGCTCATTGTTTTTATTACTAATTTTTGTGAGCTTGCATATTCCTAAGCACTTTCTTTACAGCTTGTCAAGTTGTCTGTTAAAGAAGAATGGAGATAGACACAGAAGAAAAGTTGCAGACAATGGGATCAGACCTGTTCAAACTGGACCTGTGGGCACACCGCCTCCATTAGATATTTACTTCGGAGAAGTGCACAAGCCCACATAATTGGTGCTCACAATTAGCAACAGTAAATGAACCATGCTAAGCAAATACCAAATCCATTTGTTTTGCTTTCTCAGCCAGTAAATCTGAATTTCCTTTGTTCTCAAACCCCAATCCTAAAAAAAATATATGGACCCCTAGCACTAGCAACTGAGGGAGTCCCAGATGCACAGATCAATCTCCTTGGAATACTCTCTGCTCTTTCACAAATCAATGAATGTTGACTCCTTGCCTGTACTCACTAGTGTTTGTGGAGTCATCCGTACAGTATTGACCAAAGGGTCTCAAGATCCCCTTGGTCCATCCCCCATTTCCCAGTGGGTGGAGCATTTTGTGTACAGAAGCTGGTTCTCTCCTGGATTACCTGTCTGCATTGTTAGAAGATAGAATGGGGCTAAGGCTCCTGGGTGCCCTCCCTTGACTGGTGACGTTTTCCATTCTTGGCTGAAAAATTACAGTATCATTGTTTCATGTTGTACAGCCAGTAAAAGGTAATAAAATTTAGGCTGGGAGAAGTCTCGTCCTATGTAAATATCAGGAAAACTTTTCAAGATAATGGAGTTTGAATATTACTGCAACTGTATGTTACTGAGTGACCTTGAATATGTCACTTAACTACTCTAAATCTTTTGTATAAACAACAAAAATTAGAATAATTGAAATGACTAGTACACTTGGATTCCCATGATTAAGAAATGAAACAATGAACTCAACCCTGTCATGTAAATAAAACTATGTTCTACAAATGAAGCTTACTGAGTAGCCCACACATTTTTTTTTTTTCCTTATTGGCAAGTCATCAGTCTGTTGAGTATGTAACTACAATGATCACCTTCTAAACTAAGTGGAAAATCTATTGTTAGGCAATTCTGGAGAAAACTGAAAATGTGCATTTTTGCTTTTGAAGTCAAAGTATTTTAGGAAAATGTAGTGCAGTTTTTCTTTGTAAATGACATGAAATTCAGAAGTGAATTGATTTATGTATGTCTAGTTGCAGCTGTTGTTGTGCTTCCTTTTACTCAAGGGGTTACACTATGGTTTGCAAAGTTTTGTGTTCTTTTGTTTTTCTTGTATATCTATTTTAGTGGCCTTGTGTTGAAGTCACCTTGAGGACGTGACTGCCAGTTGACCGGGGAGCTGGACCTAGGTGATCAGGCCTTCCTTGCTCCTTCCCCTGTCCTTAGAACTCATATTCTGCCCTACTATCCCGGTGCTAGCAGTCATTTCAAAGACTTTAAGGTGTCTATATATAAAAGTTTAATATTCTAGAAGACTAGTTGCCTCCGTATGTTCCCTTGCTGTGCAGGTACTGTTAAGAGGAATGATGCCCTAAAGGAACTCTGCTGAGTTATGTGGACTCCACCCCCTACTCCAGCTTTCTGGACTCTAACCTCCTACTCCAGTGATTGGAAACTACAACTCCCAGTAGTACCAAGGAGAGAACTGCAAGGACCCAAGGGCGGAGCTAAGCAGGCATTCTGGGACTTTGGGAATATATAGGGAGCCATTTTTGAATGGTGCTCTCTCAGTGGCCAACGGCTCTTGGGACCATGTGACTGGGTTATCAGTTAGTTACCAGAGCTCCAAATCAGCTGAGCTGGTAAGATGTTCTAGTTACCTGGTATCTCTCTCTCTTTACCTGGGTTGTTCCTTTTCCCTTTTATAAATAAACCCATTATTGACCCTTTTGTGTGTGTCTGCAGTACAACTAAATTTTAAGCACACTGGTGAGGACCCACAGACAGGCAGCCTAGTTCACACTGGGGTGCCCTGTAATAGTTTCACCTCCTTATCTTATCTACCTCTTTTCCTTGGTCTCTCCTTGTCTCTGTGTAAGGGGACCAGATTTATGAACTGACACCTGGGGTTTTAAAATATCTGTTCTGTATAAATGTATTAAAATTCAATTTCATTAAAAGCTTAAACAAATCAGAAAATTAAATGTTGAACTCTTTATTGTTTTAAAACTAAGACATATCCTTCCTACAAATGAAGTCTTCAACAGTTAATAAGATACTACATATGTGTAACCCATAAAAAAATTGGAATATAAATTGGCCTCTAGATAGAAAACCTTAAATACTTTTGCCTTATGAGGTCTTCAGTGCACTTGTTTTTTATTAAAAATCAACTTTGTGTAGTTACTAGGTGAATTTTACTAGATGTGATGTTTCAGGCAATAGTAGCATTTACTTTGGACTTGAAAGAAATCTAAAAATAAGTCTTTCTTAAAAATCTTGCAAGTTTTTTTAGTTTGTTTCCTCATTTCTAGAATAGGATTAACATTAATTTACCTTGAGGAAAAACATGTGAGGATTAAGTGAAATAATGTATGAAGATGTGCTTTCAAGCAACAATTTTTACCAGGCTATCTTGCTGGAATTCCAAATGTTATAAAGATCCAAGAATTGAACATCTTAAATTTGACCGTTTTTTGAAAAACTCCTTTTTTTCCCCCCAAAATGTTACTTTGTTTGAGTTCAGTTTCATTTATATATTTTTTTCAAAATTAAGCTCATTACATGTCAGGTGTTCATTATAAAAAAAATTGGGGAAATGCAGAAAACACAGTCTTTTGCTTTCCAACTCCACTGCAAGTTAATCATTGTTAACATTTATTTATTTATTTATTTTTTAGTTATATTCCCGCTTCTCAGGAGAAAAATCTCCTTCAGGTGAATGAACTCAGGCAACCAGTTTCAACCTCACTGCCAGCTGCTGGTAATGCAGACAGACTGAAATAGAGGGAGATCAGAAATCTTCAAAACCCAGAAGCAGCAGATGTCTTAATGGATCGGAACCCTCTTTATAGCCCACGTTTGCGGACCAAGAAGCTTGCAATGGCAGAATGGGCTCATGGTACATTTCTGCACGTTGCTTACTCCTGCTTCTCCTTTCATCCGCATCAGACAAATCGCTGTCTTTTAATTACGATAATATTCTAAACACTCTCCAGAGCGACGTTCTTCCAAACACTGGTTCTTCCAAACACTGCTAACAGAAGGACACCTGCCCCTGCCTGCAAGCCTGCAATTGAGTCTGATAATCTATCCCAGTTTTTTTTTTTTTTTTTTTGTCTCACCTTCTGCCAAGTGCGCCAATTCAATTACTGCCAGATTAGATTCCTCCTAGCCCCTGCCCCGCCCCTCCCATCCTCCGAAGAAGCGGGAATGAATGATCGGACCCGGGCGGGTGCGCAACCGGGTTACCAGAGCGCAGCCGGTTGACCTGAGCGGGCGGGCATCTCTGGGCACCCCCGCCCTCTCCCCGCACCGCCTCCAGCGAGAGCTACAACGCGCCCTCTGGGCTCCGGAGCGGCGGTGCTGAACAATCTCCGGCACGGCTCGCCTCGCTGGTGACATCACTCCCGAAGATACTCCCCGTTCTCAGAGCCTGCGTTCGCGCGGCTCCGTCGGTTTGTCCGTTTCCTTCCGTCCGCTGCTGGAGAGGACTCATTGCCGGCCGGGAACAGAACCAGGCACCCAGGGGACGACAGGACCCGGGAGGAGGAGGGAGAGATAAGGCAGCGAGGGAAGGAGGACCCCGGCAGGCGACAGTATGAAATTCAGCCCAGCGCGCTACTTGCTGTCTCTCCTGCCAGCGCTCGTCCTCAGCACCAGGTGAGTCCAGGAGCAAGAGGAACCTTGCAGACTGTGGGTTGCTCCTACTGCAGGTCACTTTTGAGGACCAAGGGCAGTCACTCTGTTCTTTGCATCTCCTGCATAAGTTAGAAAGGGTCCCCACTACGATTCGAGCTCTGAAATCCGTCCTCTGAAATCCGTCCGGGAGATTAGAGCCCTCTGGTAGTTACCCAGTCCCTGGAAAAGTGTTTTTCCCAGCTGGGGGCCCAAGTAGCTTTCCCTTCTAAAGACACGTTTCCCTCCAGCCCTAGTAACAGCAAACAGATAACACAAGGTAGCAGACCAAGTAGAGAAAAGAAACAGACAAGGAGGATAATGTTACCGGCCAGTGACTTGACAGTGGAGCTTTAATAATAACCAGAGTTTTTCTTTCTCCTATCCCCAAGTATGTTTGATTTTTAAGATACAGGGAAAGGGAGCATTAGGAGTGATCTTGTGAGATGTAAGCCTTGCACAAAAGTTCCTAAGACTTGGGAAATGGCCTGTGTTAAGGGTGTGAGTGGGCTGAGTGATGGGCATTTTCATTTGGCTGTCTTGTGAACAGGTCTAATTAAAGAGCACATAAAGCGATTAAAAGTTAAAGGACACTCTCAGAGTGCTGATGTAGAGACCCTAGTCAGAAACAATTAAGTACTGTACTCTGTCACTGGCCATAGATGGGACTTAAAGCCCCAGCACAGAGGAGCTATTTTTAGAGGAGTTTTAAAATGCATTGATTGAAAAGAATGTGAATCCCAAAGTTGGTGATGGGCTTGCATTTTTTTCTCTGCAAGAGCTGCACAAAGGTAGACTGTTTCACTGCCCAGGACTGAGCCTTTATTTCCCATGTACTTAACATCATATTGGCAGCCGCCTCTTTCCCTTGGCTACTATAAAATAAAATAACCCACACAGGATGAAGATCTTTTCAAATCTGTGTGAATGGAAACATTATCTGATTGTGCATCTGTGGAAAATGAAGGGAACTGTGGAGATAGGGCAGCATGTTATTCTGAAATTGAGCATGCCTGATCTACACACCCTCTTTTGCACTCCTGTAATTAAACTTTTCTAGTGTGAGGACTGTTTGATTTAGTCGAATTCTTAATGAACTTCGTTTCTCGTTGCACAACCCCAGGTGACTTTTTCCAAACTAACAGGAAGTATGAGTTGTGTTCTTTATTTTCTCTAAAGGTTGCTTTTCTCTTTAGTTCACAAACTGCAGGTGGTTTTCAAGGAAATCACACCTTGCTCCACATTATTATAACTTGTTCCAATTACAGAGCTGGTTTTAATATTTTTGCTTAACTCTAAACTCAATGTAAACCACGGATCATATTTTTCAAGTGTCTTGCTATGCACTTGAAGTCTTGTGTTGCAGTTTAATAATTACTTGTGGAGTCTTCTAGAGAAAGGAAAAACTCAAGCTTTGGGCACTTAAGGAGATACATGTATTGCCTTAATGTCAACATGTATATAAAATAACAAATATTGACATAATGGTAATTTGACCCACAGTGATTTGAAAAGAGTGGAAATCTCTAGGTACAAAAGTACATTTGCTTTTTAAGGATGGTGATATTTAAGTTAACAGCTCTGTAGACTCTAGCTACAAGTTTTAATGTCTGTTATATAATGAAAAGACAGAACCACTGTACTTCCTCTTATGAAAGTGTTAATTTTTAAAAGGACCATTTTTAAAAGATAGTCAACACTAGCTTGGAATAAATAAATCATTGCAAGTTTACTTTAGATATAAAACTTAATGCACTGTTGATTGTGCAGGAAAACTGTGACAGGTAGTCTTTGAATTTTCCTCCTTTGCCTACTCACCAAAGCATGCTGGGATTAAAAACAAGTGAAACTTTCATAACCAGTGTGGCATATCTAGTTAATGCAATGATTCTATAGTGATTTACTTTTACTAGCTACCAGACTGCCTTGTGACAGGCAATCTGAATATTATACTATCAATATGTTCTTTTTAAGGAGATTATGTTTTAATGGACTCTCACAGAAGGACATTCACCTTGTAATACTTAAGTCTTCATAGGCATGTGGCTAATATACAGGTCAGAACCTTAAACTGAAGATGTTTGTGTGAACAATTGCTTTAATAGAGGTGAGCTCCGTGTCCTGCTGAGGAAAACTGTAGTTCAGTCATTGCCACCTGTGAGTGTGGGCTTTCTAGCAAAGACTTGTGTTAACTTAGTTTCTTAGCAAATGTGCAGCATGTGAAGCAAATGGCAACCTCAGGTGCCGAGACCACAGCTAATGTGATAGTGGAAAGTGCCAATTACTAGATTTTCCTACAGCCTTTGGGTGACATCACTTGTCTTTTCTTGTGAGAAGTATCAATCTGAGTCTCTTGATGAGAAAACATGTGTGCGCACATCTTTCTCCAGTTATAGTTCTTCAATACCTGGCTGTTTTCTTTCTAGTCTAAAGTTCAGTTTTTTTGTTTTAAAATAATGGTATGTGATCACTAAAAGCAAGTATTTCAATTAGAGCATTATAATTACTATATAATAATGTTCTTTCCACGGAGATGGAGAATGAGTCTGCTTTATAAATGTGAAATTTTGAATAGCTTTCTTTTTGTTTGTTCTTATCTTTACCTTTTTGTAGCCCTTTTAGACTCTGGAACACACAGATTCCATAATTATTACCATATTGAACCCCTTGGGTGCTAAATATTCACCTTCCGCAATAACCAAGAAAAGTTCTATGTTTCATTGGTAAGCCTGATACAGTTAAAAGAACTGTTTAATTTCCTGTTTATAAAGTACCTATAAGCTTAAAAAAAACTTAATATTATGAATGATGTGGCTAATATAGAAACCCATTTAACACATGCACAAATACATACAGCCTAGGAAAGCAAACGTGTATGTTTAATAACTTCAGAGTAGAATGACTCTCTTTAAATAGCCTCATTCTGTAGAAGTATTAAATTGCTATTCCAAGGCATTCAGCAATTCGTTTCAGTAAGAAGTAGTGTAGGTATTGAAAGGAAGAGTAGGGTGAAAAAAATCTTTAGAAGTTCTGGTGAAAAAGGACCCATGGTGTGCTGGAGAAGGCTTGTACTTTAGTCTGCTCAACCTATGTTCCTTTATGCTGTGATTCTACTCTTGATACCTTTGGTTTATTGAGTTTTAAATGACTTAATAGGGAGAGAAACATGGCAGGGGAGGAGTGAAGGTCTCCTGACTGCTGGTGGTTTTCCATCAAATAGGAACTTTAAGCAGATGGTGGGTTATAGTGCTCCCAACAGGAGTCACCTTAGAGGTCTCTCCTGGGTCCTCTCATCAGCAGTCATATATCATGTTTACACTGGAATATGCTTTTAGATAATACTATATATTGAAGATGTCTCAGTTTCCTGCTTGTTCTGTGCTTTAATCTAGCCCCAGTGTGAAGTTGATATATAGAACAAAGGAAAAACAAGAGTGATGATAACAACATAAGAAGCACCAACATTTTTGTTTAAGCAAATAGATTTGATGGAGGGAGCAGTCTTATTTTAAATCCTCCTAATTGATATGGTGGGTTTATTTTCCAAGACCCATACATAGTTGAGTATTCTCTCATACAAGTCTTTATGCTGTGTAACATTCCTTTAGCTGTCTTGTGTCAAGTTGAAGAAGTCTCTTTTCTAGACTAAGAAATTAATAAGCAAAAGTATAACTTTGCAAATGTCAATTCTTGGATTTTGTGGTTTATTTGCAATAGCAGTTTTTAAAAATGACTTATTTGGAGAATATCTTTGTGTGTTAAATTTGCCTTATGACTGCAGAAAGAGGATCCTCAGGCATTTATAATTTGACTGCACAATCATACCAGGCCAAATTCCAGAAGTTCAAAGGAAGAACTTGACTTAGCAACCAAGAAGTAAAAGTTATTACAGCCACGTAGGAGTATGTGATTCTAGCGAAATTATTTTTCCCATGTGTTATAAGAGTGATTACATATGTGTGTACACCTGTTTTTAACATGACTTTTAAAGTAACATACCTTCTGTAAATAAGGCTAAGTCTTTTAAGTAGCCTGAGCGACCATACATTGTTTAATATTGTTTCTTTCTTGGAAAATTCAAACATACCCTTTCAAACTTTATAACCTTTGGGTAGATGACTTTGATGTTTTCATGGTCACACATAAAAATATCTGCTATGATTCAATTATTACATAAGTTACCTGGACAATAAAATATGTCATAAGTTCATGTTCCCATAATCTAGCTATGTACTGAAATAAGAATATATGTCAGTTAGATAAATAACAAAAACAACTGTTTTAACAAAGTCCAAAATATGAACAGAAAAAAAGAGTGAAAATGCCAATTAAGGAGCTAATATTAGAATTCACCTCTTCTTTCCAAGGACAGTGAAGAAACTGATATCATCTGTCTATTTTAATACCATGCGACCCTGGCTTGCAAGGTGTTCTTAGCCTCTATCCTCTGTATCCTGTTTTCTCATGTGGAAAATAGGGCCACTCAGAAACTACCCGATAAGACTGTGGTAAAGTCTGAATGAGTTCATCTAGAAGAATCAACATATTTGTTGGAACACTGTAAGTTTATTGCAAGAATAACCTGTGCCATCACTGCAGTGTTGTTATTTTTATGAAATGTTTTATCTGTGATTGATCTGGACATAAAAGAATGAATGAAAACTTGGATGCACATAAATTGGATGATTCAAAATTAACAAGAAACATAGTCATCATCCAAAGGCATGAAATAACTGGCAAAAAAAAGGAAGTTGGAGAAGCACTGATGGTCACTGGTAATTAGTCTGGTTCTTTTCAAGTGGGTTTTGGTGGCAAAATGCCTGGACCATGTTGTATACTAAATACCATGAAAAGTCATGTTTTAATTTATTCATATGGAAGGTCATTTTTAATATAAAATTATGTATTTGGCTACTTAGCATTGTTACCTATTTAATTTATGGTGTATAAATTGTAATATCAAATCAAAGATGATTTTTTTAAAG